TTGGTGTCATCTGCAAACTTGCTGAGGGTGCACTCTATGCCATTTTCCAGGTCATTCATGAAGCTATTGGACAAAACTGAACCTAGGACCGATCCCTGGGGCACTCTACTTGATGCTGGCTGCGAACTAGACATTGAGCCATTGATTTTTACCAGGGATCCTGGTTTTCCCCTACAAAAAAAAAAAATCTCTGATAAAAAATCCAAAATCCATGATAAAAATTAAAGGCCCCTCATGGCCTTGCTAGTCACCCCTCACAGTCTCCCCAATCCTCCCTGTAGCCCTTACTCCCTCCACAACAGCCCCCCAGCCCCACACATGCAGGCACAGACACACAGACAAACACACACACCTCAGCAGGTAGGTGTGCGTTCGGAGATGGGGGGAAAGGAAGGGGTTGGGGGACAGATTGAGAATGAGGAAGGAGAAGTGCATCTTTGTGCCTGCTCTCGGGGAGGGAGGAAGCTTGCACGCAGCGGCCAACACCACACCCCCACTGATGCGGTGGGGAAGCTGGACGGGGGCTGAGGGAGGGAGGAAGTGCTGGGGGAAGACATGGAGTGCCTGCCAGATGGCAGGCACTCCTGGTAGGGCTTTCCCCAACACCTTCCCTTCCCTCAGCCTGGGTGGGTGAACACGTGTGTGTGGGAAGGGAAACAGAGTGTGACCCAGGGTAAGGCGGCAGAGTGGCAAGGGGCACTGCCGGTCCCATGCAACACACTGCGGTGCCCCCCCTCCCTCGGGTCACTTTGTGTCCGCTCCCAGAATCAGCGCCGGGGGGCCAAGGGCAGTGGTGCCCCTCTGCAGGCCTCACACGTACTGACACATACTCAGCAGCCACTACCACCACCACTGCACCGCCACCACAGCCACTTCACCTTGCACCACTTGCCTGCAGCCAGCAGCGGGAAAGCTGCATAGGACGCAGTAGTGCACTGGTGGACGCTGCATGAGAGCCCCTGCTCTTCCCCAGCCAGGCGGGCATGTGCGGTTTGCAGAAGGGCTCTGCTGCCTGGAGCAGGGCCAGGGGGACGAAGGCAAGCAGCGCAGAGCACGGTACCAGCCGTGCAGTGGTGCTGGCACGCAGTGGCTGCCACCGCTACCGGCGGCGGCCACCACACTGTCGCCAGCAGCTGCCCCCACAAATGCACCTCTGCTCACGCATGGTGGCAGCTGTCAGCACCACTGCACCACCACCCCCATACCCCGCACTGCTTGCCCAGAGCAGGGGTGAGGCAACAGTAACCTTCTGCAGGCCTCACATGCCTGCTCGGCCGGGGGCAGGGGGGTTTGCAAGCAGCAGCCGCCACCACACCCAACATGGCTTTCCCACTGCCGGCTGCAGGGAAACAGCACGAACTGCGGTGTGCTGGCAGCTACTGCGTACAAGCTCCCCCTCTTTCCCTGGCCAGGCGGTGTGTAGGTGCCCCACAGAGGGGCACTGCTGCTCTCATCCCCACCAGCCCTACTCCTCAGCTCATTCTCTGCCTGCTCCCAGGTTGGGAGCTGGCAGTGACCCTCGCCCCTCTGCTGGCTGGCAGGAACTCCATGTCTTCCCCCAACACATCCTCACTCCCTCAGCCCCCAGACAGCTTCCCCCACAGCCCTGCCCCGCAACCCCATGCCCCACCTATCTCCAGGAATGAAGAAGGCTGATCCTCCTGGGGTACCTTCTGGTAAAGTGATTGCGCCAAGTCCCGATCTTTCCCCCTCTCCCTCAACATGCAGGCAGGGCTGGAGCTTTCCTGCCCTTTTGCAAACAGCTCTTACAGGCTGGAACTCAGCCAGCCTGCACTGCTCTTTGCAAAAGGGAGAAACCTGCGGGTTTCCCTGCTAAAAAGGAAAATCCATGTTTTCTCCAATTAAACTGGGAAATCCGTGACTTTCTCTGTTTTTCCATGGGAAACAGAAAACCCAGATCCCTGATTATCACCATCTGAGCCCAATGCTGCAGCCAGTTTTCTATCTACTTTATAGTCCATTCATTCAGCCCATATTTCCTCAGCTTGCCTGTGAGAATGCTGTGGGAGACTGTATCAAAAGGCTTGCTAAAAACAAGGTATACCACATCCATTGGTGGTTCCCTCCCCTCCCCCCACCTGTGTCCACAGAGCCAGTGATTTCAGCATAGAAGGCAATCAGGTTGATGAGGCATGACTTTCCCTTGGAGGAAAAGGTGATTAGGAACAGTCAGCATGGATTCACCAAGTGCTTCCAGGTGGATTCCTTGCTCAATGATTTTTCCAGGGACCAAGGTGAAACTGACTGGTCTGTAGTTCCATAGATCCTCCTTTTCCCCTTTCTTAAATATGAGCCCTATATTTGCCTTTTTCTGATCATCCAAGACGTCTCCTGATTGCCTGTCTTTCCTGAACTGTTTGTACCCATTGATGACGCTGCTCCAGTCATGCAAGTTATCCCACCAAGTCTCTGTTATTCCAATCAGGTCATAGTTCTGTGACTGTGCAAGGACTTCCCATTTTTCCTGCTTGTTTCCCAGGCTTCATGCATTTGTGTACAGGCACCTAAGGTAACTAATTGACTGTCCTGATTTTTCAGGAAGTATGCGTGCACCTCCCCTGTTGCACCCTCCTGCTTGCTCTTTCTCCAAGCACCCTGCTTCTCCATTTACCTCAGGGCTTTGATCTCCATCCTCCAGCAAACCTAGTTTAAAGCCCTAGGTCAGCAAGCCTGCCTACAAAGATGTTCTTCCCTCTTTGTCAAGTGGATCCCACCTCTTCCCAGCAATCCTTCTTCTTGGAACAACATCCCATGGTTGAAGAAGCCAAAGCCCTGCTTGCGACACCACTTGTGCGGCCAGGTATTGATTTGCAGAATGCATTTGTTCCTACCTGGGCCCTTTCCCTTGTCCAGAAGGATCAATGAAAATACAACCCAAGCCCCAGACCTCCTCACCCTTGCACCCACAGCCCTGTAGTCACTTTTGATCCACTCAGGGTCTCCCTTCACAGTATCATTGGTGCCCACATGGAGGGGCAGCATGGGATAGTAGTCAGAGGGCCAAATTTAAGAGAACCTTCCACTAGTTATGTTCTATGACTCTCTGCCTCCACCTGGCCAACAACTCATTTGCTACTTACGTAATTACATACAACCTGACACTTGATGCCAAAGAAGAACAGAAAGAACTATTTTATGCTGACCTTGATGAAATCCTGACTATCATCCCGAAAAAGGACAAAATCATTCTCCCTAGAGGCTTCAGTGCAAGAGTTGGCCAGGACTTTAACATGTGGGAGGCACCACAGGGAAGTAAGGTGTGAGCAAGGCCAATTCCAATTGCCTCCCATTACCCAGTAAATATGCAGAGCATGACCTGTCATTACTAGCACTATCTTCAGACAACGCAACAAGTACAAACGAACACGGTAACACTCCCACTCAAAACAATAGTACCTTCTAGACTATGTCATTGTAGAGGAAGTGATCTTAAAGACACCCCTATAACACGTGTCATGAGAGAAGCCAATGACAGCCAAATCGATCATCAATTAGTGAAATCAATTATGTCCATCAGGGTTGCACTGAAACAAAAACAAAACAAAAACAAAAAAAAGCAAGCCCCAAATCAGTCCAAAAATAGTACAGCATGAAATGCCTTCAGACCCTTAGATTCCACAAAACCCTCCAAAGACTCAGTAAAAAAACTCACCAATCTTAGGATTGAAAATGGTAGCACTTGTGTTGAGGAAGATTGGCAAACTCTAAAAAAGACTATCTATGAAGCTTGCATGGAATCTATCACCCAGCGCCATCAGGACTGGTTGGATGAAAACAAAGCTGAGATCAAAGCTCTTCTCAACTGGAAAAGAAAAGCTTTGTGACTGGCAAAACCATCCAGTCAGAAGCAGGGAATTTGTTAATGGCTTAAAGCTGAAGCCCAGAGGAAGATTTGAGAAATCAAAAACAAATGTTGGGAAGGAAAAATGAAAGAAATGCAACGATTTGTTGACAATCGTGACATGCAGAGCTTCTTTGCTGCAATCAAAGCTGTGTATGGAGCAAATTCTTGTGGACTCTGAAGACAGCAGTACGCTCCTTAAAAGTGAGTCTATCAAAAACCACTGGAAGGAGCGCTACCAAAAAGCTCCCGCATCAAGAACTGATGGTGATTAAGGAAACCATCGACACCATCACACAGCATCCAGTAAGGGAAGCACTTACCAATCCACCAACTTCTGAAGAAGTCCACCAGGTAAAACAGATTAAGAACAACAAAGCATCTGGCCCTGATGGCACACCAGCTAAGGTCTCCAAGGTTGATGGCCAATTATGACCAAAGTACACGCACTGTTTCTTAAAATCTGGAACACTGAGGAAATTCCCACTGACCTAACGAATGCCAATATTATCACCATTTTTAAAAAGGGAGATACCTTGATAAGTCTAACCATGGAAGCTATCTCCCTCCTCTCCATTGCTGGGAAGATCCTTACTCCAATTCTGGTGAACCAACTGCTCCCTCTTAACAAAGAAATCCTTCCCGAGTCTCAATGTGGTTTCAGACCATCAAGAGGCACCATGGACGTGATTTCTGCAGCTCTGCAGATCCAGGAAAATTGCCAAGAACAACACCAGGAACTATATAGGGCCTTTACTGATTTGACCAAAGCCTCTGACTATTAACTGTAAGGCTTTATGGAAGTCCTTATCAAAATTTGGCTGCCCAGGAAAATTTACTGACATCTTAAAACTCCTTCATGACCAGATGACTGCCTCCAGCCTATGCAGTGGCTCCACTATGGAGCCCTTTACCATTCAAATTGGTGCCAAGCAAAGCTTCATGATGCACCTATTCTGTTTTCCATCTTTCTTGCTGTCATCAAGATGCTCATCCATGATCATCTGACACATGGCATTGGATGGGAATCTTTTCAATCTCTCCCGCCTCCATGCCAAAATCAAAGTTATACTGGCCTTCATTGTAGAACTTCAATATGCCAATGATTATTGTGTCATTGCACGTACTGTGGAGGACCTACAAACAGCCCTTAACGGCTTCTCTCAAGTATACTAATATCCTTTCATGATATTAAGTGTCAAATTCCCAATCAATAAAAGTGGTAATATTAGAGTAACTGTGATGGCCCATAAGTTATTCAAGAGGCAAAGATTTTTTGGAGTAATATCTTTTAATGGACCAACTGTATAGCTGAGATAAAAATCAGACAAGCTTGCAGATGCCAAGCATTCTTCTTCATGTCTGAAGAGGAAAGCAAGCACAGAATTTTTTAAGAACAGTTGAAACAGTCAGGAAACTGGAGTAGAGAGAAATTCCCAGGGGTAGCAGACAAACAATTAGAAGAAAAGAAGTTGATTACTGGGAGAGCAAGACCTATCCAAATGGAGGAAAGACATTATCGCCTATAATGTGTAAGAAGAATTTCAGGAATCAGGCAGATTATAGTGCGTCATAACATCCATTTTGATGTTCAGTCCTTTGTTCCTAGTCAACTGGACACTAAGAACTAAGGACTGAACATCAACATGGATTTTATGACCTGCTATAATCTACCCGACTCCTGAAATTCTTCCTATATGTTACAGGTAATAAAGACCTTCCTCCCTCTTGATATCCATTTCAATTTTGCATACATTTCTGCCAAAAAATAGATCTTCTCACAGTGTCGCTACTTCAACTTAACTAATCTAACAAAATAAGGTATTTCTTTTCCTGTTTAAATATTCAAGGATGTCCGTTTTCAATAAAGATGCTTTGTTTTGTTCATTCTCTATGTACATTTTATATCTGGCCCAGAACCACAACATTCTTTATTATCCAAGGTAGTGATTATATACTGAAATACTATTTATTACTAACCTATGCCCTGTCTGCGTCTTCAGGTTTTCAGCTTTTATTGAGATGATTAAGTGGACAGCTGTCTTATTCATGCACTCCATAAAAAAAATTGTTCAAATATTCATAGTACTATTATTCCCTAAAATATCTGCCAGGAATACAGTGCAAATAGTTCCATCTAGCAAATTAAAAATTATTAGATACTTCGACACACACTCTGCATCCCCACAACAAAATGTTCTGCTGCATCAGATTCACATATCATTTTTGTGTCTACAGGTTTAACAATAACTTATTTTCTCACATATAACACAAACCAATACATAGCATACACCCTTATTTTGAAGGGCAGCCTGAAGAGAGAGGAGGAAAAAAATCTCCCACTGAGAGGAAGAGCAACCGTTAGCAAAGTATGCTGGCTCCACACCTGCTGCCAGCTCCTCACATCAGCTGGGGACCATGAACCAACATGACATGGATCACGGGTCCAACCTGGTGCTCTAGCTCTGGAGTCACCTGCCAGATCAGACTCAAGCGCGGAACCTGGGGCTGCCACCAGCTCCAGTCACGTGCCAGGTGCAACACTGCGCACCATTTCTGGGGACACAGGCTGCCTGGGAAGCCACCTGCGGGGTCCCACCTGGCACCAGAGCTCGGTGCACTGGAGCCGGGGCTGGACCTGACACACCAGGTCTGGGGCCACCTGCTGAGGACTAACCCCCGCCCCTGGGCAGAGCTGGCCCAAGCACTTAGTAACGCGTCCCTAGGGCGCTCCTGTATTAAAAGGGTCTTCGTTTCCTTGGCAGGCCCCGCTGTGAAACCCTTTCACGTGTTCACAGGCCTGTGCAGACTTACGCCCCGCCCCCAGCCCCCCGGAGCACCGCCCTCAAGTGACGCGACGCCCCTCCCCCAGGGAGCCCCGCCCCCACCCAGGCCGGTCGGAGACACTT